TCACAGTTGCAGTTCGGGGGGAGTGAACAACTTCAGTCTTTTCAAGATGGTGAGGCTTGTGTCCGTGGTAGAGATCGAGGGCCTAGCAGTGCAGGAGTTGGGGCTGGGAATCCTAGGCCAGAGGTACAAGTTGGGGGTAGTGCTAGCAGTACGGATCCCTGTCCACCTCTTGGTCTAGTGACCCAGGGCGGGCCCAGTTCTAGTAGCCATGGCATGAGCTCTGATCAGAACATGTGGGGATTTTGCTACGAAGACGCTTTTCCTAGCAGTGACGAGTTGGAGGGCTTTCCATTGGTTGGAACCTGGCTTCGAGTGCATTTTTTGATACGATTGCTATCGGTTGAAGGAGAGCGAATTTTGTGGTCGCTGGGTTGGAGGTCACGGAGTTGGTTAGTCCTACGTAGGGTCTCCAATGGTATTCGTTATGGCATGGCTGGAGCGATTGTAGATGTACTTAGGCAAGGCCAGTATGCGGTGATGTTTTCCGGGCCTCAGTGGTTTGAAGCGGTAGAAGACTTTGTGCTAACCGGGTTCCCGGATGACGAGGAGATTGAGGGGTGTCCGGTTGGTGTTTTTCCTTATGTCGAGTGGGCGCCGGGTTTGAGGGTGCACTATCTTTGGAGGCTGTTTGCGCTTGATGGATATCGACTTCTCGCGTTCTTGGGAACCCGGGTCTCTGAGTGGTGCTCTCTGCGATCCGCTTCACCTGGATTTAGAAGCCAAGTAGTTTACGGCCTTATCCTATGGTTAAGGGAGACAGGGGTGCAGTATATGTCGGATGGTCCTACTTCATATGGGGCTGCAGAGTCGTATTTGCGTACTGGGATTAGGACTTTTCCATTTGGGGAGTCCGTAGAGGACGATCCCAGCATTGACGAGAGGCCTCTGCGACCTAGGGAAGGTTTGGCCCCGGTAGGTCCCTATCTGCCCATAGCTAGGGAACTTCTTGCGCCATCTGAATCGGAGGAATCTGGAAGTTCGACAACAGAGCCCTCCTTGGTATCCTTAAGTTCAGGGGTAGTTAGTAGTGAGCCGGGGTTGACATCCCTGCAAGAAAGTTCTGGTATGCCGCAGCCGGCAGTGACAACTGGCCAGGGACCTTTGTATGCTGTAGGTGCTGAAGCCTTGATTTGCACCTATGGGGACGATGAAATCATCGTCCCGCTGCCGGGGTGGAACTCGGTAGCGATTCAGGCTGTTGTGCAGGGTCTTAACACTGGGGATTGGTCAGTCTTTGAGCGGGTTGTTTCTAGCGGGCCGGTCGGAGCCGACGGACGAGAAGGAAGAGCTTCTTCAGGTCGGTTGAGGATTCTGTTCAGGGAACCTGGCAGGTTTATAGCGTGGTTGGGGTGGATTGTGCTGTGGGTTATTTGTGGGTGTTTAAAGGCTGCAGTTGCAGTAACTGTTGAGGCCCCTTGGGACTCCGTAGGTCAAGGCCCACTAGACTCCACGTGTGTTGCAGTGCAATTGTATTCCAAACCCCAAGATGTGGTAATCCCTGAGGAAGAGTGGGGTTGTGATGGTGAAGTCCTATGGAGGTTCTCTCAGATAGCAGTGCTTGTGCTGACTTGGGAAATTGTTCGACGCCTGATAATCAGGTGCTTCTTCTGCTCCCGTTACCGCCATGTCGCTAGTCAAACAGATGCGGGTGGAGTCATTTTAACCCCGCTTGGGGCAGAGGTCCGCTGCAGGGGAAGGATTCTCTTCTGTCTGTGGAAAGCGGGTTTTGATGTAGGAGTCGAACAATACCCCGAAAGGATTCAGTCCGAGTTCTATGGTTTGGTTGGGGGTTATCTGTCAAGAGTTGAGGAAGGTGAGGTTTCGTCTACGGACTCGGATTGAATCAGGACGGGGAGCTTCAAGTTGGTCTGGGACTAGCTTTAGCAGAGTTCAGCTGATAAAGGGTGGAAAGCAGCCTTGAGCGGAGGCGAGTAGAGGAACGTGTTAGGTATCCCCTGGCCAGTAGCGCCAGGCTATTTTAGAACCCTAAATCATTAAGTGATGTGGGGGTTAGGATATAAACGGTATTCTCCTCGCCTCGATAATGTTTGAAGGGACGCCAGGGACTGACATATCCAAGTGCCCCAGAATGGGGTAGCCCGCGGTACAGAGCGGGCGTGCGGAATCGAGTCCAGACAACTGGTTTTTGTCCAAGAAAGATTTGTGCAGTTGTAGGTGGATACAGTCGGACGGAAGTCACTAAGGCTAAGATCGTACTTTTCCATTACATTCTCTTGTTTCGCTACTCCTTGGAGGGGTAGCCGAAAGGGGGAGTGTGTGACGTCCAGTCCTCAGCATAGGATCGCCACCGACAGGCTGTTTTTGTTCGAAAGCTGGAAAAAGAGTGAGCCGTGAACCACTGTTAGGATAGTCCTTACTTCCTCTTCAGTAGGGGTTTCGGTTGTCAATCTTGGGATATTCGATTGGTTTATAGGGTTAGTTCACGTAGGTTATCAGCCGTAGTTAGGCGGTTTAAGATACTGGGTGACGAGACCACGCTAAATAAGTACCGAGCTCGGAGCAGTAGCCATGGACCCGTTGATACGAGCCCGTCGTGGCACTGGGTCCAGAGAGGTGGATGAGGCCAGTGCGGCCTACGATGTGGAATACCAAGCAGCCTTGAGCCAAGCGGAAGCTAGTGCAGTTTCTGGGGGCAATGCCAGTGGGGTGTTGGCCCGTGGCTTGGTTCCTGGAGAGGCATCTCCCGGGACCTTAGAGATGGGGGAAGCGAGAGCGGATATGGGACCGCGAGCAAACCCCTTCCACAGCGAGCGAGTGAAAGCAGAAGTTGAGCTGATGCGGCACAGGCCGACAACCCTGGATGACGACGCTCGACGACTGCAAGGGGAGCATGATGAGACGGCACTGGGGGATACTAAGCTTAACTCTCTGCAGGAGCCAGACTACGCACAGATGAAGGGAGGTCCAGAGGCCCCTAGGGTAGCACGGGTAGAGCCTACTGAGGAGGCTACTGGTGTTGCCATGGGGCCTGGGAGCGGTTTTGAGCGATTCCCTGCCGGTGAGCCGGCAGTACAACAACCGCTCAAGGAACAAGTTCCTGGTGCGACGTCTGGAGGCGGCGAGTTAGATAAGCAAGTCCCGGGTGTTGAGGAGATGGACTCTGGAGCCTATCGTTTGGGAGATGATCAGCGGGAGCTTATTCCTGACGAGGGGGATAGATGGGGTAGGATGGAGGCGTTGCTGGTGCAGATGATGGAAGAGAATAAAGGTCTGAAGAGAAGGCTGGAGTTGACGGAGCGCGAAAGTCGTTCGCACTCCAGCTGGCACAGTGGCCTGGCACCAGATTTCTCTCCGGCAACTTTTGGTCATCGTCCTGAGATGAGTGTACAGAAGTTTGCACCTCCCGATTTCTCGAGTCAAGAAGCTGTGAACTTTATGGGTGCGGGGTTTATGGATTTAGGTGGTAGAGGGGATAGGGTCTTCCCAGGGAACCTACAGTCTTGGGTTGGAGCAAGGCTAGAGGGGCCCCCGGAGGTAGGACCACCAGGTTTCGAAGGGCTCTATCCTAGGAGACTCCCACCTCTTCCTTTGCCCCCAGCCCCGGTAGTGTCTGAAGGACAGCCTCCAGGCCCTCAAACGATGCGGCAGTTTACGGAAGAAGCCAGACAGTTAGGGATTGGTTTAGGAGGGGGCCAAGGGTTCCATACGCCTAGAAGTGGGTTGGGTTCAGGTGGGAGGTTTGATGCGGAAGGGTATCCTATTTCTCCTGGGGGTACGGTTATCCGACCCCCGCCCATTCCACCGGCGGCCACGGCAGCGCCTGCGGCTGCGGCTCCTCTGATAGGTGCGCCCGTAGGAATCGGGGGCTATGGGGTGGGGTCTGGGGATTTCCCTCGACCGGAGGAGCCGGCTCGATATATCTCAGAACTTCCTAAGCTAACTCAGGCTAGTTTGTCTGATAGTGCCATTATCTGCGGTAATTGGGTAGCTCAAATAAGGCAGGTTTTTCAAGGGATGTCGGCCACTTCGGATATTTGGTTCGGAGCTGTGGAAAGGGCTGCTGTTGAGGGTTACAACCGTTGGTTGGTAGCGGACCCGCTAGGCAGGTTGGCTCTAGATCCTTCTTCGATAACCGCGGTTTATGATGTGGTTAAGTACCAGCGTGTAGAGAGCAGGGCGGTAAGCTTGCTGCTAGCGGCCCTTCCGGTGAATGTTAAGGAGGACGTCGTGGTTAACAGGTGGTTGACTACGTCGGCCATTTTGTTCAGGGTGCTATGCCTTTACCAACCAGGGGGTAGTTCGGAAAGGGCCCATCTTCTGAGTCAATTGGTTACCCCAGAGCCTTGTAAGACCTTCCCTGACGCAGTTCGTATCCTTCGTAAGTGGCAGCAGAGCTTGCATCGTGCAGCGGAGGTAGGTGCATCGTTACCAGATGCCTCATTACTCCTGAAAGGAGTGGACGGAGCTATGGCTACGCTTCTGGGTTCGAATCCCATGGTAGGGTTTAGGGTTAACTCTTTCCGGCACGGTGTGGGTCTAGACTACAACCCTACCACTACTGGGGTTACGCAGCTGGTAAGGTTGTTGCAGTCGGAATGCGAAGCCGTAGCTCTGATTGAGACACCTGCTGGGAGTGACCGTCGTTCAAAGGCAGCAGCCTTGCAAGCTTCAAAGGAGCAAACCGCTGTTAAGGCTCCGGCACCCCCGCCGGCCCCTCCTAATCCCAATTCTGGAGCCTCAGTAGCAGCTGCTGGGGTGAGTGCGAATGAAGGGAAAGGGAAGGGCAAGGGGAAGGGTAAGGCTAAAGGGATTGATGGAGAGGCTCCTAGCTGTTACAAGTTTAGCGATGCCACTGGATGTAGGTTTGGGGATTCGTGCGTGTTTCGTCACGACAGGGCAACGGCGAGACGTGAGGGTAGATGTTTGGCTTGCGGTCAGAAGGATCACTTTAGGCCTAATTGCCCTTTGGTTGCCCCTGAAAACCGGGTAGTTACGGGGGATTCCGGGTCGGAGAATTCTCCTAAGGCGCCTAGTGCAGGTAAAGGGGGAGCAAAGTCCAAGGCAAAGGCGAAGGAAGGTGCCCAGGCTAAGGGGGTAACGGAGGATTCGGGGATAAGGGACGATTCAGCTTCGGGTAGTTCTAATCCGGCTGTGGCCAGTGCTAGTGCAGCAGCGACCCAGGAAGCGTTAGTTGCGGAGGCTACGAAGCTTCTTAAAGGGGTGTCTCTGCGTGCGTTGCGGTTGGACTGTGAGGTTGACCTTACCTGGGTTAGGAGTGCCCTGACTAGCGCATCGGACTTAGAGTATTGTTTGATTGATAGTGGGGCCACTAATGCCCTTAGGCCTGCTGGCTCGTTGGAACTTGAGGCCGGGAGGGTAATTCAGGTGGATTTGGCTTCCGGGACCACGGAGTTGAGGATAAACAGCTTCGGAACGCTTCTGCATGGAGGGCCGTGTCAGGTTATATTGCCGGCGAGCTGCTACCTGGTAGAGCTAGGGTACCTTATCTCGTGGCGAAAGAAGGGGTGTGTGGTGAGACATCCTAAGCGGGGTGCGTTGGAGGTTCAGGTAGTTAAGGGGTGTCCTCTTATCCCTAAGGCGGTTGGGCTAGAGCTCCTGGACAGATATGAGGATTTGAAGTCCCATAAGGCCGTGTTGAGCAAGGCCGAGGTAGATGACCTTGGAAAGACGCTCACGGCAGGGGCTTCTAGGGCTTGGCTACGGGATAGGCTTGAGTCTAAAGGGGGCGAGGGTCTTTCTGAAGTAGACCAGCTAGTTTATCTAAAAGGGTTTTTCCTACGGTGCCACTGCCGGTTTTGGTTAAAGTGTGTGCTCCTGCATTGCAGTCCTCAGGGACAAATTGGGCAGACCTTCCGTGGAACAGGAGGTTTCGCCGTTCCATAGCCAAGGCAGAAGCCGGTTCGGTGATGTTGGCAGTAGGCCCTTTTTCGTCTGCCTGGAAGGGTTTAGGTAGAGTGGTGCAGGTTCCAAGTTCTGATAAGGGCTTGGGCTCGTTAGTTATGTTTCAGCTGTGTATGCGATGGGCCCAGGATGGAGTTATTGGGGGTCTGGTAAAAGGGGGAGAAGTGAGAGGGGAACTAGGGGGTGCGGATCAGGATCTGTGCGGGGATGGATTGGTACGGGTTTTGAGGTTTCTGCTGGTGTTTGCAGTAGCCCAAGCGGCAAAGGATGTAAGGGCTCAGGGGTTTGACGAGCCAGCTAATGGCGTCGAGGAAGATCCTGAGTTGCTTGCAGCTTGGGCTATGCGTAAGGCTGCTGCGAACCTTGGTTACCCCGCAGGTAAAGTACCCCCCCCTGATTCGAGTCAGATCTTCCTGGCATTTGAACCCAGTGGTGCAGTGGTTAAGAATGAGGGTTCGGAGGTGCGAGTCGGTGACTGGTTCGGTTCGTTGTCTAGCGAATATGGGTTGCAGACGGCTTGCTTTGACCAGGGTTGTATCGGTGCTCCGGGGGTCTATGAGACGCGGCTGATGACTTCTTCATGGTATCTTTACGAGAATCTGCATGCGGTCCGAGTAGATGATAAGACGCGTGCGTTGCTGGAATTGGTTCAGAGGGTTGACATGGGGTCTGCTCTAGGCCGGGCTGGATGGGTGGGTAACCTTCTAAGTTTTGTCCAAAAGGCCTGGTTGATGTGGAAGTGGGAACAAGGAAGGCAAGAGGAGGTTGAGGAACGTAGACTAATCCTTAAACGCCTTTCTGAGGAGGAGTCCTACCGAAAGCATGTGGAGCATGACCATGTGCCATATAGAAAGGGCTGTCCAATCTGTATAGCAGCGCAGGGGCGGCAAAGGTCTCATTGGAGGAGCGGGTTTCCTGGGATGCACTCTTTGAGTGCGGACGTGGCTGGGCCATTTGTTTCGGGACAATCCTGGGATGTGGAGGCTAGCGGGCGTGATAAGGGAAAGGGGTATAAGTATTTTTTGGCGTGCGCTTATGCTATTCCACAAGGGTATGTACCAGAAGGCTTGGAGACAAGGGAGGAGGATGATTATGAGCCTTCGGAGTGCGGGGGTCTTATACCGGATGAGCCAGAGAATTATGGAGATAAGGAAGTGGGTGACTTGGGAAGTGCTGACCTTCAATCCTTGGAGGAGTTCTTTAGACTACCGGGGGAGCCTCCAGAGGAAAAGGAATCAAAGGTAGGGGCCGTTCTGAGGAGGGTACCTAGTAAGAGGCCGGAATCTCCGGACTCCGAGGAACTTGGGAAGGAGAAGCACGAGGATAAGGAACCCAAGGCTTTGGATCCCACTGCCACAAAGGGACATCGTACTCTGTTTTTTGGGGTTCCGCTAAGGTCTAAGCTAGGTCGAGAGATCTTGCCGCATATTCAGGGGGTTGTTAACCGCTTGGAAGCTGCGGGGTTCCCTGTTCAGAGATTTCACGCGGATCGCGCAAAGGAGTTAAGGACTACTGCGTTGATTAAGTGGTTGAAACAACAATTGGAATCCATGCGACGTGGACTGCGGGGGAGTCTCCGGCGGGGAATCGAGCGGAGCTTTCAGTGCAGAGTTTAAAGGGCTTCGTTCGTAAACTTTTGTTTGTTGCCAAGCTTGGTAGTGAGTACTGGCCTTTGGCCTTGTGCCACGCTTCGGCGCGTAATTGGATTAATCTTTGTGAGTCGGTTGGGGTTCCGCAACTACCTCTTTTACCTTTTGGCATAAAGATCTTGGCGCGGCGGCGTTTGCGTACCGGGTATAAGGCTCACTGGGCTTCTAGAACAGTAGAAGGGGTATACATTGGGCAAGCGCCCCAAACACCTGGGGGGCATCTGGTGTTGATCCCGCATGAGGAAGGGCATAAGGTGCTTCTCACAAATACCGTGTATCCTCTAAAAGGGACTGAAGCTGATGTTAAGAAACCCAAGTATCGATTGGCGGGCAAGCGCTCCCCGGTCTTCGCAGTACGGGTGGTAGCTGCTACTGAGCTCGCGAGTGGCTGTGACGGTTTTGACTCCAGGTTGGCACCTGGGGGGGAGTCCCTTTCAGGTTTTTACTCTCCAAAATTCTCTTCGGATTTAGAACCGCTTTCAGAGGAGGAAGGTGGTTGGGATTGCGGTGACACATTGCAGGACTTCGGAATAGAGGAAACTGAGCCAGGGAGCGGGGTTTTCGTTGAAGCCTGTGATAGCTTTGAGAATTGGGCTCTAGGAACCGACGAAGGGCATGGGGTTAGTGTTGGGAGTTTGAGGCCTCTTGATGCTGATACCGAAGGTTGGATTAAGGAGAAAGTAGCCAATGGGAGCTTTACTAGTCAGGAGTGTTGGGAGGTGTTGGAAAGAGGACTGGGTTCTATTCCTCTGGCCCGAAGACCCCTAGTTAAGGGACAGGGACGTGCGGTGTTGTTGGGGCTTTATGGTGTTGGTGGTTTTAGGGGGGTCTCTAAGGCTACGGGCATCTACTTTGAGGTTGCGAAGTATTTGAATCTCTTTGTGCAAGCTCAATGCCCGGCACATGTGTGGACTACTCTGTATGTCTCTCGGAATGCCTGCATGCCAATTCATCGAGATCTTCGAAATGCGAAGGGTTTTGATACTTTGGTAAGGGCTGTAGGAGACTTTGTAGGAGGCGGTCTTTGGATTGAAGGGGAACAAGGGCAGGGCTCAGTCTGCAAGGTGTTACCGGATGGCTCTCGGAGGTTTGGCTTGGTGCATGACGTTCTTCAGAGTCCTGTAGTTTTCTCCGGGGAAAGATGGCATCTAACAGAGGATTGGGAAGGGGAAGTTCGCTGGGTGATTTCTGCCTTCACTCCTAGGGAGTTCCGTGCCACGGGAGAAGCCCAAAAGGCTGAACTTCGTGAGTGCCAGTTTCCGGTTGATCGGATTTGGCCCGATTCCGAGTTGCCTGGAGTAAGCAGGGTTGTGGGAGTAGGAGAAGATGAGTTGGCTGAGGCAGGGTTAGGCCAATGGGTCGTTGGGGTTCCTGTTCCACTGATTAACGAGGAAACTCGGTCGAGCTGGGACTCTGTTCAACGGTCAACGGCCGTCCTTTGCCGGTTGATGTCAAGTGAACTTTGCGAAGCCGATGTCGATCCTGAGGAGGTAACCGCCTTAGCAGAGCAGCTACAACAGGCTGAGTCATGGAAGAAGTGGCTTGAGCATTGCTTAGAAGGGACTCTGGAGTCAGGTAATGTTTTTCTGCGAGCCTTGCAAGCTGAAGTTCCGATAGGAGGGGACGAGGTTTCAGGGGATCAGTTTCTACAAACAAGGACAATAGGGCTTGTGGAAGCTCGAAGGGAACTAGATAAGTGGAGAGATCCTGCCCGGGAGGAGGTTACTAGCTTAGAAACCACCAACCAAGCTGTAGAAAGGGTTAAGGCTTCGGAGGTTGATCAGTGGGCCGCAAGCGGTATCACGGTAGTGCAGCTGCCGGGGAAGGTAGTTCTCACTAGGAAGTCCGGCACGGGTCGTAGACGATGTCGAGCTGTGTGCTGTGGGAATTACTTGCCGACGGATAAGCTGGGGTTAACGCGCAGCGAGCTGTATGCATCCGGAGCCGAAGCTCTTTCCGTAAAGCTAGCTTTGACATTTGCTTCTATGCATCCTCAATGGGTTGGGGTGACTATAGATGTTAAGTCGGCTTTTTTATATGCGCCTATTCGCAGTGACGATGCGGAGGAGCGAATTGTGGTGAAGCCTCCAAGCTTCTTAACGGAACTCGGGATTCTCTCGCGGGAGGATCGTTGGTGGATCCGGAAGGCGTTGTACGGGCTTCCCACCAGTCCAAGGGACTGGGGGAGGTATAGAGATGCGGAATTCCGGGATTTCTTCATCCATTGGGCTGGAAAGGTATACCGCTTAGAGCAAACTAAGAGCGATGATGCTTTGTGGCTGGTTAAGTCCTTTGAAGGGGAGGTGTTTGGTGGCACCACTGGTATTCTGGTGGTGTACGTCGACGACCTTGCTTTTTTCGGTCCTAAGGGACTTTGCCAAGCGTTTATCAAGGCGGTACAGGCCCATTGGAAGACGTCAGAGCCAGATTGGTTGGGAGCAGACCCGGTCACTTTCTGCGGTATCGAGTTAACGTTGGGTAGCCAGGGATATCGATTGACGCAGCGGGCATACGTGCAGGAGCTCTTGAATCGATATCAAATCGAGAATGAGTCGTCGGTTCCTCTTTACAAGTGGGCAGAACCAGACGGGCAGGATGTGGTCCAGGCGGAGCAGGTAAGGGAAGCGCAGGCGATCACTGGAGCTTTACTGTGGCTGTCTACGCGCACCAGACCAGATCTGGCGTACGTGGTTTCCCGTTGCGGGCAGCAGGCCACTAAGTGCCCAGAGGTGTCAATCGGCATGGGCAAACAAGCTCTGGCGTATTTAAAGTCCACCATTGATATGGGAATTGATGTGCCGTTTTCGGTAGGAAACCTTTTTTCTGAACACGGTCTACTGGCCCTTCCAAGGACTGAGAGAGTAATTGAGTTGTATACCGATGCGTCCCATAGTCCGGGCGGTGAGAGGAGCATGCAGGCTATTTTTATTGTCTGGCGTGGGGTGCCGGTTGCGTGGGAAGTTACGAGGCAGCCTTTTACGACTCTCAGTTCGGCCGAATCAGAATTAGTATGTATGGCGCACGGGATCCAATTGGCGGAGGCTGTTCAGCCCTTGGTAGACGAGTTGATTGAAGAGGATACGACTGTGTCTCTTCTTGCAGACAACGAAGCCGCGATTAGGGCTTTTGATTCAGCCTCAGCTGGTTGGAGAAACCGGCATCTTAGGATGCGCGCCCTAGCTGGTCGCGAGCGTATTGCTGCCCATCTTCTGAAGGTTACTCACCTGCCAGGGGAACACCAACTGGCAGATCTAGGAACCAAGCCGTTAGCCCGAACCCGGATCATGCAATTACTTGAACTAGCGAATGTTCGTTGTAGAAGTGTTGTTGGTGAATCGGTTGTTGGGGCTCGTATGCTTAGCAGGCTTTGCTTGACCGGGGGGCTATGTGAGCCGGAACTAGTGAATGCCTTGGCAGGCCTGGCGTTGTTGGCCGTGCTTCCTCAAGTGAAGGGCCAACCGATTGAAGACCGGCTGGAAGTCGGGTTCAGTTGGTTGGTTTGGGTTCTGACTGGGATCTTCTCTGGAGTTGCGTTAGGTTGGGGCTGGTGGTGGCTCTATGGAACAGGCGGGTTTTCCGAGGTTGGAGCTGTTCAGAACGAGACGGTTGAAGCAATAGGCGGTTTTGAGGGTGGACTAGGGGTGGAGCCTTTGGACCATTCTTGCCAGGGTGAGGCTTCAGTTGGGAGTTCGGATGGGGACCAACAGACTGTTCCAGAAGGGTTGGGGTCGGTTCCCGAGGTAGCTTCAGAGCAGGCTTCAGAGATTCCGAGGGAAGAGCAGGTTGACGAGGATGCTGAATGGAGGGCTGCAAAGGCCCAACTAGAGGCGCAAGAAAGGGATTCCGGGCTCACCTGGCTTCAGCGGATTAAGTTAAAGAAGGAGTTGGCCCGAGGTGGAATAGTTGAACCACCGGTTTTTCGACAAAGGTTTGGGCCTATACCCCGGTGGATGCCGGATACGGAACCTTCTGCAAGCCAGCCTTCGGTGAGAGTCTTTGCGGCTTCTTTGGTTCTTCAGAACACTCTGGAACAGCATGCTGAGTTGTTCGTAACCTTTCTAGGGTTTGCCGCGGTTGAGCTAGTTTTGTTGAGGTGGCTTTCTGAGGCTTTTGGAAGGAGCTTGCGAATTCAAGGGCTAAGTAGACTAAGGGATTCTGGGAGCAACGACGCTCTGAACCAACAGGATTCACAG